AGACTTCCACGTGCGGACCTAAAGCCGTGTTTTCCCCTCGACCGTTAAACGAGCGTGACCTTTGACCCCAGGCCTGTAAGGCTGTGGCGTTTCTCTGTTTGCCAGAAAGAGAAAAAAAAACAGATCTCACACCAGTATTTATGTATTTATGAAGCACTTTTCATGCAAAAAGAACCTGTTATCATGTTTAAAAATCACAAAGAGGAAATCAAAGAAATAAATAAAACCAACAAGGACCCAGATCGTATTTAGTTTGACTGAAAGGGGTAAAAATGGATAAAACATAATATGAAATGTACATAAAGTTGATATATTTTTCTAGTATTTCATATTTCTGTCACTGTTAATCAAATAAAATATTAAATACAATTTAATCAATCTAAATTTGATAAGCATAAATTAGAAACTAAAAAACTGAATGAATACAAATATGATAAATGTTCAAATAAATGAATTACACTTTAGATATAAGTGGAAAAAGTAAGTGAAAGTAAAAACGAGTGAGTTTATTTAAGCAGAAATGACAAACGGTGAGCGTTCTGCTCCATTTGCTGTTAGAAATATTCATAAAACCAATAAATCTAAGAGGAACGCTGACGTTTATCTGCTCTATAAAGAATGCACAGGGACACAATTCCTGAAAATGACAAGAATTCATCTTAAAGCTGAGCAGAGGAAACAAGATCTGATGTCTGGGAGCTCAGAGTGTCCATTTTAGGAGCAGAACTCCACTAAAAGCTTCCAGACTTTAACAGATCTGCTGTAACCGTTAGGCCAGTGTTTTTCAACCTTTTTTGAGCCAAGGTACAGTTTTTCAATGAAAAAATCTCGAGGCACACCACCAACCAAAAATGTTAAACAAATCTGTATCCGCCTATAGTAACACTATAGTTATTCTTATCTTATTCTTATCTTATCTACCTATAGTAACACTATAGTTATTCTTATTTTATTCTTATCTTATCTACCGATAGTAACACTATAGTTATTCTTATTTTATTCTTATCTTATCTACCTATAGTAACACTATAGTTATTCTGATTTTATTCTTATCTTATCTTAAGTGTCTTGAATAGGAATCAAATAAACAAAAATGTATTTTTATCTTATTTTAGATTTCTTCTTTCAAATTGCTCTTAACATGTCCACTTCAATATACAAAATTAAATACAAAATCTAGTCATAAGGAATTATTACATGATTACTCCACCAGTCACTAGAACAGCACACACACTCAGAAATGGAATATTATTTGCAGATAATTAATTCCTTATCAAAATTTTTTTTAGACCAATGAGGTGAAATAGGATGATTTTCTACACCTGACCATCACTAACGGCACACTAGTGTACCGAGGACCAGGGGTTGAAAAACACTGCTTTAGTGGAACAGGAACTTCATTTCAGGACTTTATTTATCAGATTTCTTCATTTGGAGGCAGAAAGTTAAAGTTCTGCTCTCAGTCGTTCTGCAGCTGCTCACAGAAAGTTTCCCTATAGAGGTCTGAGGCTTTAAGGCACCAGAACCGGGTTTCTATTGGTCAGGACAGAGCCTTCTACTTCCTGTTTTCTGACCAATAGGAGAGAAGTCTGGGACTCTGCTCATTTAATTGCTGGAAATTCAGCATATTTATGAAGAAACATTGAAAAAGGTTTAGTTTAACTAAAATTATTATTATAAATTATTATAATACAACAATTATTACCCATTGTAACAATAAAAAAACAACATAAATTAAACAAATTAAACTTTGAAGCTTTGGCTTCTTCCATCCCCTTTTCAAGCCACGCATTTGTATTGTTTGTCATTATATGTATTCTAAAATGTGTGCAGGTTTGAAAATAAAATAAAATAATAATAATAATATGATAATAATAATATCAAATATATCAGAAAATTATAATAGTTTAGTTATAGAAGTCCCATATAAAAAATTGTGAAAATAACATTTCATTGTCACTTTTCTTTATAATAAAACTAGACATAAAAGGTAAGGAGAAGACAAAAAGAAGACCAGATCAGATGAAATCAGACACCAAATTACAGCTGGTCCTCACAAAAGGAATCCGGAGACAGGGAGTAAAAATAACCAGCAGCTCTGTCTATAAATAAACGTCCGTTTATCTGAGGACTCATGTTTAGGGCTGAGAACCACACTCAGCTCCATTTTTGGGTCTGATGCCACTTTAACCCTATAAAGCCAAATGTATCATATCTGATTCATACGGTTTCTGAAATGTTTTGCGTCTGACACCTTTTGCATAATTTAATGGTAAAAACTTTGCTCTAAATCCTATTGTACACAATCAGATACACCTGATAACAGGGGGGAGAAGATACACAAAAAATAATCTGGACTTATTAATATAAAAAATATATTTGTTTTTTCTTTTTACATATTTTGTTAAAAGGCCAAATAAGGATTTCAAACAAAAAAAAGTAATTTTATGTTTTGTTTTATTCTTGGATCCTCCTGGTTCTGATGGAGGTTTCCTCCTGGTTCTGATTGTGTTTTTTCCCCAGGTTCTGGTTCTGAACGGGCTTTTCCTAGTCTTTTAATCCCCCTTTTACTCTAATCTTGACTCAACCGGACCGGATCAGAATGAACACAACAGAACCAAAGCGTCTTTTTATGTGTTTTATTCATCACTTTGGAGATAAAACTGAACTGAACTGGACTGGGCTCCCTCCACCGGTCCGCCTCCTCCTGTGCAGAAACTCAGAATTCCCACCTTTTGGGGAACAGCTGAACGCATCGCCAGAGGCCCGGCGCCAGAACCGGGCCGGGTCCCGGTCGGGTCCATTAAACGCAGCTCAAGATAAACAAAACAGACCAAACACACCTCGTCTGTGACCCGAAGCCCTCAGAAAAAAAAACAGGTTTGCTCTTTTCTGATTGGCCGGTCGGCAGAAAAAAGACAAAACAAAAAAACAAAAAAAAAAAAAAATGTTTTTGCTCCTTTCTGATTAGCTGGTCCGCATAAAAATTTAAATAAAATTTAATTAAATTAAACAAAACAACAGTTTTGCTCCTTGATTGGCCGGTCAGCAAAAAACAAACAAACAAAAAAAAGTGTTTGCTTTTTTTTAATTGGCTGGTTGGCAGAAAAAAAAAATCCAGTTTTGCTCTTTTCTGATTGGCTGGCCGGCAGAAAAAAATAAAATAAAATAAAACAAAACAAAAGTTTTGCTTTTTTCTGATTGGCCGGTTGGCAGGGAAAAAAAATGGTTTGATCTTTTATGATTGGCTGGTCAGCAAAAAAAAAACCCAACAAACAATTTAAACAAAAAAAAGATTTAGCTCTTTTCTAATTGGCCGGTCAGCAGAGAAAAAAAAAAACGGTTTTGCTCCTTTCTGATTGGCTGGTTGGTAAAAAACAAACATTTTAGCTCTTTTCTGATCGACCTGTCGGCAGAAAACAAGACAAAACAAAACAAAACCAAAAAAAAAAAAAAGTTTTTGCTTTCTTCTAATTGGCCAGTTAGCAGAAAAAAATGACAAAAAAAATTAAACGATTTTGCTCCTATATAATTGGCCGGTCGGCAGAAGAAAAAAAAGAAAGAAAAAATTTTTTTTTTGCTCTTTTCTGATTGGCCAGTGGGCAGGAAAAAAAACAAACAAAAAAAAACAACAAAAAAGGTTTTTGCTTTCTTCTAATTCGCCGGTCGGCAGAAAAAAATAACAAAAAACAAAACGTTTTTGCTCCTTTCTGATTGGCCGGTGGGCAGGAAAAAAACAGTTTTTGCTCCTTTCTGATTGGCCGGTGGCAGGAACCCCGGCGTTTGGGCGTTTGTGGATCTCCGGTGGGTCGGAACAGCCTCCAGGCACAGGGACGCACATTAAAAACATCTGGTATGTGTACTGCATATATTATTATATTATTATATTATTATATTATTATATTTTTACTCTATTAGCTTCACCAGCACAACAAACGCTGCATCAGCTGTACAAAAATACACTAAATCTCTCTGTGTGAGTCCTCAGCCGAAGTCGATCCGGGG